CTCCCCTCCGTCTCTTCTCCCACTCATATGTCCCTCTGTCCCTCCCCTACCCCCTCTCATTCAGCACTTGCTTCCTAGTGAGGACACAGGGAGGGAAGAAAAAGTAGTGAGTTGAGATTTCTGTATGTAGGTGGCGCTGTTAGTGCTGTTCAAGATTACAAGGTGATTTAAACTTTGAGATTAGGTTAAACTGTTGGAAATGGGATTGACCAATGATCTTTACACTGGTTGGGGCTGAGTCCAGAACTTGGAGCCATGTGCCATTCCATGTGATGTTTGAGCCAATGCCATGATGGTGAGGTCAGCATGATGCCGTCAGCTCTGCAGTCTTTTAAGTACCATGTATGTCCACATGTACTGTATGTCCTCAGACAGTTCTGTCAGCACACATGTAAACAGACCATTACTACCTTCATTTGTGTGCGCCTAAGCAATTAAGGCTTGTTACCATTTAGAGTTAGTAATGCTGCCAAAAAATTCAAGATGAGACCAAGTGGTGAATTTTCCTCTGTCCCAAAATCTTTGGATTGTGATTCAGGTATCCAATCTCTAAAATTGGTTAATGTTCATCAAATCAAATTGGTTTGGCCAGTGAAAGCAAAGAAAGTCTTTCCTCTATCAGTTCGCCTGATTAATAAGATTAGCCTATATTACCAAATTACAGTTGTTGTTGCATTTTTTTTACATAGTCAACCAACATTTCCCACAAATACACACAGGCATTACTGAGCAAGTAAAGATTATTTTGTTTTTTTGTTGTGTATAAATCATGGCTTCGAGGGGATATGTTTCCTCATCTTTGCTTACTCCCTACTTCTTCAGTTGTTTCACAAACCAGTGTTCTTTGTTACGACAGAGAAGAAAACAAACACATTGTGGATGAGGGATTTGGCACGGCCCAAGTGTGTTGTTGGATTTTAAGGCTGTTCATTCGCACCAACTGCCCGCCAAAAAACACTGCTTAGGTTTGGGCTTGATCTGTAATCTTCAGGAGGGAAAATAAAGACTTCTTTTATGTGCTTTTGCAATTAACAACCCCCTCTTAGGCGTAATAAATTACCAACATGAGTTCTATGTGATAAATCTTAAGCAAAATTAAAAGGGGAGAGAAATAGAACGATGGATCTACTCTTCCCAATTCCTCCTCTAATGCTGTTCACATGTCCAGGAATCTGGCCTGGCAGACGGAGAGTATAGGAAATCTATCTGCGTGTTTGACTGTTTCATCTGGAGCCAGACTCTCAGTATACTGCAGAACCTGCCAGGACAACACACTTGGACCCAGTGCTTGTACATGCAGTGATAGATGATCACTGGATGATCTCTGTTTGCTTTCATCACACAGCAGGAGCCAGAATGAGGTTAGATGACTCTCCCTGTGTCTCTCTTTGAACAATTAGCATTAATTAAGAGGGACCTCCGCACTTGTTTATTTAACGGCTGATAACGATGTGTAGTGTGTGTTTTATTACAGTCTCCCTGGGGAGCCTCTTGTTAGTTTAGATACCTTGGTATCATATATGTGACAAAAGGATTTACACAAACACGCTTTTAGTTATGTCAAAAATTTAGATTGATCAGAATAAAGAAAAAAACTGCAGGAAAAAGCGGCAGAAAAGCCCCACAGTCGCTTGTAAACTTGCTGTAGCTAGAGAGTCTGTGCAACACTCTCTGTGCCACTCTCTCTCAACAACGCTAATTATCAACCAAAGACATGCTAATTACATACAGCTTTATTGCTAATGTAGCAGGCCTCTATGCCAGCCGCCCACACTCTGAGCTCCGCTCCCCTACCTCTGCCTCTCCTCCCACTACACCTTCAGGCACAGCAGTAAAAGCAACAGAACCCAGATCAATGGAATTGATGAGGAGATGAGTTGATTTGAAATTAGATACGTAATTTATTAGGATCTTTATTTTTCTTTCTTAGAGAATCTAGATTTAGGTTTCACTTAAACTTCCGTCCTTCATTTCGACTTCTACTTGACTTCGTCCTTATTTCCATTTCCCTGCTCTACAGGAAGTCCACTTTGCTCATGCCTCCCCCCCTCTAAAATGTAACAACCCACCCACACTTCTGCACCTGTGACGTAGCCTAACAGCACACATGGCGTGGTAGGAAAGATCCAACGTCCTGTTCCCCGTCTTTGCCCTCCCACCCATCGCTTTCTTTTCATCTATGCTAAACGTGCCCATGTCAGCCCTGTGGCCAATCCCGTTAGTACGCTGAAGCGAAGGCTAAAGGCCCTTTTCAGATCGATTTCTCCCACTGAGAGTCGTTCAGAGAATGTGGAGCCTCGAGGGATCACATAGTGTAGGGAGTGATCTGCAGCTCTCTCCCCCCACCAGGCTCTTTAGCGTCTTCCCCTGACACAGCTGTTTACATGTTAACCATCCTCTGCTCCCATAATGGAAACGGTTAAAGAGAGCTTCAAAGCAGGAAGCGCTCGTCACAGGCATTTGCTGAAACATGTGACGACTCTGTTCATGGGTTCAGCTTAAGAAGAGGGCATAAGGGATACCAGAGCTTAAGGGCAAACTGGGGGTAGAACTTCAAACTGAGTTCATAAAATAATAGAGACATTATTGTTGATAATTATTTCTGATAATATTTTTCCTTTTATATTCATTCCTAAAAAAAACCCAAAGAAGGCAACACCTGCAAAATATGTGATGTTTTTTAAATTATTATTATTATTTATATTATATTATTATCAGTAAGTCAAACAAGCCTTCATAATATGAATGACAGGAAAGGAGTAAGACCATAATGCCTAACAGTGGAGGAGAGTAACTTCAGATTTATTCAGGCTTATGCTCACATTTAATGATAATGCATCCAGTCCATTTGCTTTAATCATTAAGAGTTTGTCATATGTTCATAGCTGTATGGCTTGATGTATGCGCTGCATTAACATACCATGTATTTGACTGCACCAAATGGAAAGAACAAAGGAAGTAATGGCTACAGCAAACATTACTGCCACAATTATTTTTATATCATGAATAATCTTAGTTTCAGGATGTGGTCAATTTAGTATTAAAATAAATACAATTATATTACCAAGGTATAACAATCCCTATTATGTAATCCCAATATTATTGAGATATTTTTATGAATCAAGGAGCTCTGGAGTTGCAGGACAAGAGAAGTTTATTCACTAAGCATGATGACTCTGAAAGTGTGTGTCTGTGTGACACAAGACAAAAGGATAAACTCTGCATGAATGCACGGACGCCTGTGAACAGTAAAGGTGTTTCGTTAGCGGGCACAGCTTAACATGCAGCACCCAAGGATCCTTAAGCCCCTCCTCTGCGTCACTTCCTGTTTTGTCTACCTGACCACTGCCTGGCATTACCTGAGCCACACCAGTGACATGTGCCTGGTGTCCTAGTCTTTAGAGGGACATCAGTGCTAACACACACACCATGGGCAGAATATGTGAAGTACGCACATACAATTTTAAAATAAAAATGTGATTTTTTTTTTAATACAAATCATTTTTAAACTGTCTTTGTTTTACATAACAAAAGGTCAGTGACCTCCAAAGACAAAAGAATGACCTCAACATTCAAATTATTTTGGTTGACAAAAATTGATTTCTGGAGAAATCAACAGTGTTGCACAAAACTAAAATATGTCTTTGGCATTGTATTACAAGTATTGGGCAACATGTTTGATGCAACAGTGATTTCCTGAGCCAACGCTGAGCCAATGTGACCATGACCAATATCTACTGGATGTTTCTAAACCAATGATCCTCAGCTTTAATGTTATGCATATTTAGCAGGTGTTTCCTCCTTTGGCCTTTATACTTTATTTCTGAAAAAACATTGGCATGTGGAAAACATCGTGTTATAGCATTTATAGGTTTTTTTTTACCTAGAAAAAAAGGTTTGTATAATACATGTACAAGTACTTTTTCAATATTGACCCTTTTTGTAACTTTTCTAGTAGCGATAGATACTCCAAGTGAACCCTTAGGACCAACAAGACCAAGAGCAACAAACTAGGGGAGCAATTAATTCATACAAGATAAAAGGTGTGAAGACCAAAAGAGAAAAGTAAGGGTTGCTGAATGAGTAACAAATGCTGAAACCATCTGTCTGCTTTTACATTTCAGTGTGTTTGCATGACTGTGTGTGTGTGTGTGTGTGTGTGATTCTGCGTATCTTAGCGTACATGCACGTGTGCCGCCTGTGTTTTTTTTGTTTTCTCGTTACTCACCTCCACAATATCGGAGTTGGTCCTGCTCTCATGGGGCTCATTGTACTCGGTGTATTTCAGCAGGGCCTTGTCCATATCTGTGCTGGCGTACTGGAACAGTTTGTTGGTGCTATTGAAGATGATCAGGGCAATCTCACAGTCACACAGCACACTCAGCTCGTACGCCTTCTTCATCAGGCCGAACTTTCGCTTTGTGAATGTCACCTAGATAGAAATAAAAACACACCCAAAGAGACGAAAGATCAGCTACAGTCTATAAATGTTCCTAACAAAGTGAGAGACTTAGCAATGTATGTTCACACCTATGGTTGATGTTAAATTAATATTTCATTAACACCACTATTGTTAAGTCTTGCCTGGGGTGTAGTAATCATTTACCTGCAGAACATCACCCCCAAACTGTTTCTTGTGATCAGGAAAGTTAAAGTCAAGAACATTTTAACAAAACCTGACTTTATCAGTGTGTTCAGTGAAAAAAAAGAAGCTGGTTTCACATTTAAGGAACTGAAAATGCAAAGTCTCAGACAGATAACGGTAAGAAAGATCACTGGCTTCTTGTACATCAAAGAAAACACATGCTCAATATTGACAATGACAAGTGAATCCCGTAAACCATTGACTTTACCTGATACCCTGATGTACCACTATTTTCCACAGAGAGAGTAAACCTGTGACTATTTTATTTCAATTTTAGCAATCCTCTCACAGTGACAACACCACATACAGCTCTGTTTCCGAATAAAGTGCCCCTCATTGTGATTAACACGCTGTTGGTATAAATAACCGACGGAGTCCTAGAAGCTCTCAGAGAGCTTAAATAGCAACAATGTGCTCAACATAAACCACAAAATACCCTCAGTAATGGACTGTCTTTGCTCATACACTCACTGTTTGTGTATCTATTTGTATGTGAGGCCCAGGATCCACGGGTATCTTTAATAAGACACTGCCTACGGTGCTAAAGTAGAACAGCCTCCATTCCTCTATTGTGTGAGGGAGAAACTAGAGCAGTGAGAGTGACTTAATTCCAATGAGCTGCACCTGTTTTTTTGTGAAACCATGTGTGCAAGCTCTCTGGCTGAATCGAGAAAAAAAAATAGAAAATGTTCATCTGCCAGTTCTCTCTGAGCAACACTGCTTTTTCAAGTTGAAATTTATTTTATTTTCTTCGGTGGCACGTCAGGGCTTTTTATTGAGAAAAGGTACTGCCAGAACAGTGCCCAGCTGGTAGTTAATGATCTCAGTTTGTTGATTAACTAAATGTTTGTCTGTTCGCTTCTCTTCTCTTCTCACACTTGCACTGGCCAAAAATTGCCATCCTCCTACTTATTATGCAAACGTTCTCTGACTGTGAAAATATTGATGACAACTGCAGGGTACAAGTGGCCTTTGCAAAGTATCCATTGAAAAGTCTGTGAGTGCAGTACTTTAGAATGATGCAAAAATTAAATACAAATCCCAGCTCCAGAAAAGTTGATACACTTTCTTACAAAATAAACTAAATCCTGTAATAAACTGATGATGTTGCATCATAGTGTACACAAAGCCATTTTTATTTAAAGTCAAATTAACTTGTTGGCCTAGACCAGGCATGGGCAAACTAAGGCCCATCAATAGATGAAAAGAAAGCAATGGGTGGGAGGGCAAGATGCGAGATGCAGATGTGAACCGTTCAGCTTCTTAATCCGGCCCTTCAAACTTTTCCAAATAATTTAATTTATTTATATTATCATTATACTTGTTATTCTTGTAATTTCCCTGCAATACCCACAATTCCCCAAGAAATGACATAGAAAATGATAAAAGCATTTTAACATTTTAGCCTTTATACATGTCATTTATCTTAGTTCACACGAACATTCCATCTATCTACTGCTGACCCCGCCCTGCTGTTCAGTTCTAGGACAATTGTGGCCCATGAGTCAAAAAGTTTGCCCACACCTGAACCCACCCAGTCTTTTGTTTGAAATCATGATACCAAAATCTATGACAAATTTACCTGTAAATTCAAGATCATGGTGCTTGTATGACCTCTTCATTTATACTTCTGTTCTAAACGTTTTGGAGTTTGTTGCAGGGATTATTTTAACATCTTTGAATGTTTAAAATTGGTTAAAAAACATATTTTGTTTATCCACTTGCAGGTAAATATAATGGCTTGGCTATGTTTTATAAAGTGGAAAGAGGTTTTGAAGCAGCTTTGCATTAATTTGCTATTCAACACCCTTAAAATTGTTCTCTTTACAACTTCAAGACCTGAAAGAAGAGAAAGAAGAGAGAGGGTTGAATGGATATTGATGGATAGTTTTGGATTCCCTGAAATCATATCTTCCAGGATGTACCAGAGAAACTGAATATCGAACTATCCCTAACATCTACCCAATCTTTTCTCGCTGTCTCTGGGAGTTGGTTAAAACCGAGCACCAGCCGCTGTCTTCTGGGTCGGTGATGCCACTGCATCATGCCTATCTTTCAGACAGCGGAGTATGAGACCACGAGACATGGACGCCGCTCTGACGCCTAACAAACCGGCATGCGTAATGTTAGCCTCTCTACCTTGGCACAAACACTCATCTGATACAAAGACGACATATGGAGGAACGAGATCCCCTGGGCTCTAAATACCATGCTGACATTTCCACAGTGAAACTAAAATATAAGAAAAACAAGGCTTGTACTTAATGCAAAAAGATCAAAAGGCGTTTGTTGACAATAAGATTAATCTGCACGTACAACGCATTCACGAACATAGGCAAATGGCTGCCATCCTGGTCTATATGTGAGAGTAAATAAGAAGACAGGACGAAAGGACACCAGGTCAAAGAAGACTTTTCACGAAGAGGACACAAAGAGTGTTGTTTTCCCTAGGTGTTTCAATGCACAGGGCACGGGGTAGAAACAGGACACAGCTCCCGGGTGCTCCCGGGTGCTCTGCTATCACCCACTCACTTAGTTACACACTCTACTGGGGCCATTAATGTTTCAGAGGCCGGCACGTTGCGCACACACTGAGCTGGGTGTGGATCCCTGAGGTCCATGGCACTTGAGGGAGTGGGATAAGAGGTGGGGTGGATCCACCTGCTGGCTCAGAAATTATTTTGTGTACTAGTCAAAAACACGACTGTAGGCACACATTACAGTTTAAAGTAATTAGGGACTGGGATTGCACCCATAATCTGGTTTTTATTTTAAACTGTAGAGCAAAATCTAATCAGAGTATTCGCCCTTGCATTTTAAGAGTTTTTGCATGTGTTTTCCACATATGAGATCATAATTCACACGTAGCACAATTCTAACAACACCACAAGAAGAGAGTGAGTGTGATCATGAAGCCATAACTGACCGATAACAACACAATAACAACACCTACACAAATATAACAGCACACCCCCACACCTCAATCTGACATGTACAACATGCTACCTCCAAATTACATAGGCTGTACTGCTAATGTTATGCCCAATAGGCATGTTTCTGATTAAACACTAGATGGTTAATGGCCTTGAAGAATTACACTCATTAAGAATGCAGTAATGAATTAAGTGGCTGATAATGACTGTTTCCCCTGCGAAGCCGTTTCATTTCCTGGAGTGTGTAAATAACAAATATAGAGATAAAGTCAATAGAAAATGTTGATATATGCTAGTGACATAGTCAAAAAAATAAGTTAGAGCAAAGGGTTTAAAATGTAGTTTAGCTGACACATAGCATTGTCACCAAGCTAAGGACAGTGTGGCTCCAGCTATGATGCTACAGTAAGTAAAAGAAGTGACTGGTGGTGTAGTGTAAGTCTTTTAGTACATAAATGAACAAAACGTTCAACTTAACCCTGTAAACATCACATGGTGCGTGGTAATTTGCAACATATTCCATCACTGTGAGTAATTTTCAACTCATTCAGTGACTTCTTGGTCACTTACTTAATTCTGTCATGTGACAGCAAGCTTGTGATGTCACCATTTGCTTTTCCTTTGAAAGCTTAGAAGGTCCCTCAGGGTCCACACAGAAAAAATAAACACTTTGGGCTGGCTGCCTTTTTGCCCCTTGTGTGGTTAAAGCCAATTCTAGTAAAGGTAAATGTAAATAAAGGTAAAAAAATCGCTTGAGAAAAATTATGCTTAAAAATACTGATAATGACTAACTAAGTGACATCAACATACCACCTGATAAAATTATTACTTCTTTATTTCATGTTTTGTCGTTTACTGATGAAGAGACACTGACAAAGATCCCATGTTTAACTTCACTAAACGGTGGAGGTGTAAAGTGCACATGAATCTGGAATCTGCAAGTGTGAACTAAAATCTATTTGTTAGCTATGAATCTCAAGATCTCCATGAATGCAGTTTAAAAACATTTTGAACTTAATAAGAAAAAACAGTAAAAAAAAAAAAATAGGTAAATTCTTGACAAATAAAGTTTTCATATTATTTTTTTACTGTGTTTATTATTTGGTCAAATGTTTAGAACTGAGTTTTCTTGACCACTTGAACAGGTGGTGACACACATGCCTCATTTGTTTACCCTTTTCCTCCTCCGCATTAAAATCCCAAGAGAGAATCAGACACATCCACACAGAAAAAATGTGTTCCGACACGTCACCATCATGTCCACTTCTTCCTTTCTTACCTTCTTTGTTTGTTATTGAATAGCGTGCATTTTACTAGTATGTAAACCGACCAATTAAAAGTTCATTATTTCTAACTGCTTTAATAACACAATCAAGAATAAAAGATAAAAGATCGGCAAGATAAACATAAGGTTGGGTGAAGAAGATTTTTCAAGTATTTGGTTCTTGGCCACATGGGTGAGAGATGGGAGAAAAACAGAAAGACAACTGGGGGTGGGGGAGCAGGGAGAAAGAGAGGGGGCGGACGTACAGGAAGCACATTTTTATGCATTTCCTCTCATAACAGGAAGAGGCCAGTGGCTTCCCCTTCACAATGGCTTCGCTTCTCCTTCCCACCTCCTGCCTGCTCCCCTGGGGGAGGAGGTGGGGAGACAGGCATCAAGAGCTGCTGGTTAGCAAACGAAACATGGATACACTCGCAAACACACACACTCTCTCTCTCACACACACATACACACGTAGTTATCAGTCAGCTAGCCGTGTGATTTGTCTTGGGACAAACACTTATCCCATTGTCAAGGGCCAAGCAGGAAGCGTCTGGGCTTATGTAAAAGGAATAAGAGGAGCCCAAGAC